TATTTTTAATTTTTTCAAAATTTATTTTACAAAGAAATATGTACGGCAAATTGATAGATTTTTTAGATGTTGTTACTAAAAATTTTGTTCATAATTTTGTAAAATTATGTTCATTTAACTTTATTATTATTGTAGAGCAGATCCTATAGCTTACTCTTAATTACTCTGCTAAGAGCTTATTCGTGCGTGGCAAGATTTTTAGAACAACGTGGTGTCTAAATAAAAGGATATTAAAATAATTGCGCAATTGTCACGTTCTTCCGATGCCGAAGCAATGTGTGTGCAACGGCTACAGTGGAGTTAAAACTAAAAAAAAAAACATGGTCCACTATTAATCAGATCACTGTGAAGACGGCGCTTTGCTACACTCCCCAACAAATTTACATAATCCAATTGTTTTTCACCCCCTCATTTGATTTAGCTCATTACTGAAGCCATAACATTCCAGATGTGATACAAACCGCGGTCACACATCCGCTGAGCGCGCTCGTCTGCAGCAATCGCAGCACACCCGAAGAGGCGGCCGGCGCATCGGCTTCATGACATCAATTCTTTAATGCGGCCAACAAGTAACTGCTGAAAAACATGAACGATTATGGCATGTATCTGCTGGCCGAGCATGCGGCCTACAATGAGAAGAAGCGCTTCATCGACAACTTTCTCATCAAGTAAGCGCTGAGACGCTGAGGTGGTGAGCAACACGAGGCATAGCTGTTTGCGCGAAACTGTAAATTTGAAAACGCTAAGCGCGTTGCATTGAAAATAACAAATAAAAAAAATTTTTTTTTTTTTAAATATGTAAAAAAATTAATAATAGATCAAACGAGTTAGGCAAATTTTGAAATTGCTATTAAAAAAAAAATATTAAAAATAAAAATTGAATTAAAAAAAGTAAAATTATGAATATAATATAAGTAATATGTAATACATAAATATTGTGATTTTGGAGAGTACGAATTGGTTAATAACAGAACTGAAAATTTTAGGCAAATCGAATAAGTCTGGAAACGAGTTACAAAAACAAAACAAAAGCAGCGCGATATGAATATTTTTTGAAATTTAAACTTTACGTAAGCGAGTTAGTTGCAATTGTCCCCAAAGCAAATAATAATGAAAGCATGACATTTTATGGTTATGAACATACATACATACGCATGTACATTGTAGTTATTTCACTGAAGTTATGAAAATATATTGAAGGAAACATAATTGAAACAAACAAAATTATATATATACATACATGTACTATATGTATTTATTGTATCTATTGTACGAATAACGGCGCGTCTTCAACTTAGCTAAGCCCAGCCCAGCGCTGCATTACGCGTGCGCAACACTCCTAATAAAAAAACAAAACAAAAATTAAAAAAACAAGAGAGAAAAATTCAATCAAAATGAGAAGCGCGTGTATTTTTATCATACTGTAATTATTAAATACTATGTATGTATGTATTTATGTGTGTGTGTGTGTATATAATTTTTATTGCGCATAAACTGTAATATATTAATATACATAATTAAAACCGAAATAAAGTTTTTCGTCTAATGCAACGTGAATTATGCCATAATCCATTATTATTAAAGCAAAAAATACACACACAAGCAAAACCCTAAAATTTAATAAATAAAACAAAAAACAAAGAGTTTGTAAAAGAAAATGTAATTAAAAAATAAAAACCAACAACAAATTGATAATTATTGATGTTAGAATTTCTTAATTGTACACCGTTTCGATAAGCTACTGTGAATTACCAACAAAATATACAACAAAAAATGCATTAATATTAAATGAAATAACTACAAAACAAAGAAAAAAACGAAAACAAAAACATGTGCAAAAATTAGTTGTCATAAGCAGATATCGCATGAATACTAAGGCAAAAAACTAGCAACAATACACAGTTTTAATATTGCTTTTTCCACACATTTTGAATTGTTAAAAAATAAACATATTTTTGATGCTGGTTTAAATAGAGTTCGGTAATGTGGAATGTTGAAGGCAGTCTGACGCATACAGTTGCAAAGGAACAGAGTTCATAAAAGAAGAAAATTATCCTCAATTAATTAATGTTAAAAAATATTTTTTTTTTGTATTTTTTTAATTTTTAGATTTTTTAAATATATGTATTTAAACTTTTTTTATTTTTAATTTTTTTAAATATTTTTTTATTTGTTTTTTTTTTAGTTTAATTTCAATTATAAAAATCCAAAACATATATTTAAATCACTGAAGTTAAAAAATGTATATTTTTTCAATACAATTTCTATTAAAAAATTCTTGAAAAATTTATTGAATGATTCCAGCCGATTGAATAGCTGAAAGAAAAATTTTATTAAATATTTGCTATACAAAGACCTTGATTTTTGCTTTCAAAAATTACAAAAAAAAATTTCTTCAAAAACTACAAAAATTATTATTTTTCTTTTTAAAAAATAACAAAAATATTTTTTTAAATTGTTTTTTTTTCAGACAGTCGGCATTTTGTGAACAAATTTTTTCTAACATTTTCCTAGTTGTTTCGGATTGCTAGGAGGGCTGAAATCATAAGTATGGTTACGAGCCAATGTTTTGAGGCCCCCACTTTATCAGCTGTTAATTTTTGAAATGTTTAACGCTAACGTTAACTATTAGAAAAATGGATAGTAAAAGTAGTAATTACCTTGTTTTTACCTGAAGTTCAATACTCTAGACTAAAATACCCCCTTAAATAAGTAAAGTAAAAATAAGTAAAGTAAAAAATATAATTTTTTACTGGTTCTTATTTATGTTAAAAAAATTTATAAATAACAATGGTTTATTTT